GTAGAAGTTTTATAACAAAAACAGGGGAGTGGTTAATCTTACAGTCCAGAAACAGAGGACCCTAGGACTATCAAGGGAGAAGAGCATAAGCAGAATGCGGGACCTTATCCAGAGAAGCAGCAGTGCCAGAGATGGAGGCAGAGATGGGGGCATGGAAAGGGGGAGCAGCTGAGGACTCTAGATTCATGGAGTAAGAAGAGAGGGACTAAGAGCTGGTGGCCAGGAGCAGACCTGCAGAATGTGCACTTTGGAGGTGTAAATTATTATATATGCCTGAGTGTTTTGATTTTTTTGTTTTGTTTTTTAAAAAAAAGCTAAAGTGAATAGAGAGAAATACTGGTAACTGATAGTACATGGAGGGAATTATAATCATTGTAATGAAACAAGGTGTATGATTTGTTGAATGTAAAACTAATGATCTGCCCTGTAAACTTTCACTCAATCCACAATAAAAACCTTACATAAATAAATAAAAGGGTGGGTCTTATGATATATAAATTATATGCCAGTTACAAAAGCCAGGCAAATGGTCATAGACCACCAGCCTCCTTCAGTCCTGGCCAGGTAACTATCTCAGAGGCAAATACAGCCAGATAGAGAGTCAGTCCCAAATAGATCTATCCTGACAGGTAGAATCAGGTAGAGGGCAGATAAGAGACCACCAGATGCAGAACACCTCCGGAGACAGAAACAGCCGCGTGAACTGTCGCAGACAATAATCTTATAGAGGAGACAGAACCGGAGACTACTGCACAATTAGTCCTAATTACAAACACACAGAGACAGGCCCAGGTCACGAAAGACCAGGGACGTGGACGTTCCCAGGCGGTCACAGACTTAAAGATACAGTCGGGCAGCCAGCCAGAGACCAGCAGCCACAGGCAGAAATAGAAGTGTAGGGGGTTCAGGCGAAAATACAGTCATCGGCAGTCATAAGAGATACTTAACCCTCGTCGTAGGGGCAGAGACTGGCAAAATAGTTCTAGATCATTAATATCCTACCTATATGGTGCCGCCTATAGGGACGATGGGATAGACAAACGGACAGACAATTCACAGGACACGCTCACAGATCCAGCCACGCAGGTAGGCTCAGGCCTCAGGACCATCCCCCTCCCAGTCAGTGCCCCTTCCCTCTTAGAAGGCCCCGCCCCTCCCAGCAAGGCCCCACCCCTAGACCAGGCCCCACCCCATCCTCCTGGCCCCCGCCCTCCAGCGTGTCCCGTTCCACGTGCCAGTTCCCGGGTTACCTTTGCTGCTGCCGTCGGGTCCCCGGAGCACCGTGCACTCGTCGATGACCCCGAAGGGCTGGAAGAGCCGCAGCACGTCCTCCTCCGACTGCTGCTTGTTCAGCATGCCCACAAACAGCTTCCGGTCCCCTGGGGCGGAGACACCACCTCAGTCGAGTCCCCAGGCCTCGGGGCCACCAGGCGTGTTGTGGGGGAGGTGTAGAAAGTGGGGCTGCAGGGCCTGGAGAAGGGGGTTCTCTCCACCTCCCGGTCCCCTGACGGTCCTACTTCTAGGCTTGTGCCCTTCAATCCCCACAGCCCCATGTGCTCCAGGATCCCACCCTCCTGGCAGAGAAGAACTGCCTCTACCTCCCCCCTCAGAGTAACAGCTGAAGTCTGTCTGTCCAGGCAGGGGTGGGCGCTGGTGGTCCCTACACCCTCACAGCATCCAGGGTGAGGGTACAGCTGGGGTCCTGGAGAGTCTGGACTTAGGGGGACGCTTGAAGGGTTTTGGTGGGGGTGGTCAGAGGCCAAGGGCGGGGCCAGAGGCTGGCCCCCTCAGGTAATTGCAAAAGTCTCCGTCTGTAATGGGGGAACATGGCAACTTCACCTTCCAGCGTTGTTGAGCTGGGTTGCTATGGAAACATGTTCTCGGCAGCTGTCACTCATGGGGGTAGGAGGGAAAGAGAGACAAGCAGAAGCTAGGGACTGTCGGGGAGAGACAGAGAGACGAAGGAGAGAAAGAGATGTGAGAGAAACCGAGAGTGGAAGAGACAGTAAGAGACAGAGGGAGAACCAGAGAGAAGAGGAGAGAAGGAGCTGAAGGGATAGAACAGATACAGAGGTGAAAGAGACAGAGACAGAGAGAGACAAAGCAAGAGGGTGTGGAGGCTTTCAGAGTCCAATTCTGCACTCCTTGGTCCACATTGGCAGCCCAGGTAAATGAGTGTGAAATCGAGCTCCTAAACACACACCAAAGCCCTAAAAACCTTGCCCTACACCTCCCAAATTAGCCTTTTCTTCAGGACCTGAGGGTAAGGAGTTGTTAAGTACCCTTAAGTTAGTGACCCTCTTCTCTGAGCAGCTGGCGGGTTCAAATCACAGGCCTTGTGGCTGGAATTCCAGTAGTACCACCCTTGCTCCCGAGAGTAAGGAGAGGGTGTGAAAATCTCCAAGACATACCAGGCTTGGATCCCACTGGGGACAGCAGAGGAGATCCCCCCCCATTCCATGGCCTCATCCTGACCCTGTGTTTCTGTGCATCCCCATACTGGGGCTGCAAGCCTACACGCTCCCATACCCCAGCCTCAACAATCAAGCACACGTGCTCCAACACTCACACCCACGCATGCAGTCCTGCACACAGACGGGCAGGCAGCCTCATCCTGCACCCGCACATTCTAGTTCCCATGCATCAGCCACAGAAACACGCATACACACAGTCCAAACACTGGCAAGCTCACACACACGTACTTGCCCAGACGTGCAAACATGCACACACACAGCCCTCCCCACTCTCAGAGTGTAATCAGAGCACTTCAGGGACCCTCTGCGCTGAGGGCCCCCTTACAGCACCCTGCAAGGAGTGGGGTGTTGCGTGCAGCTGGGCCTCTGGACTGCATACCACCCTTCCTGTCCTCTTGTGTCTGCCTTTCTTCCATCACTGGGTGAATGAGCAAGCATGTGATGTTGTTGCATGCATTTGGACAGTCTCAGATCCCAGACCCCATTGCCCCTCCTTTCCCCATTCCTTGCCCAACCGCCAGCCTTGTGGCTGAGGCTCCTGGTAGGCACGGAGAGATGACAACTACCTCCGCGGCTCTCACTGTCCGCAGGCTTCACCTGGATCGGCCGCGCCATCTATGAAGAGAAAGGGGAGGGAAGGCAGGATTCTCAGTAAATGGGGTGTGGGCAGGGGTCTCTTTTTGATCTGCCCACTTTTTTCAGCCTCAAAATTCCAACACCCTTCAGCAGTAGCTTACACGCCAGTCAAACCTAATGACCCATGGCCCCACCTTTGCTCCTCCTGGCAGGCAAACTCGTAGTCAGCCTTATAAACCCAGCAACAATATCCCCTCCTCCAGGAAGCCTCCCTACTGTTCCCAGAGATGGCCCAATGCTTTTGGACCCTGTTAGCGTGCTCCTTTGTGAAGTGGCTTTGCAGCAACACCCATCAAGGGGTGGAGTCTTTCTCTCCACGCCCTTAAATCTGGACGTGGCCATGTGACTTGCTTTGGCCCATAGAGAGTGGGAGAAGTGAAGCTCTCGGAGTTCTGAGAGGCCTTGCCGCTAACTTCCTTTCTTGCCCTATTGGAACCCTGGGACTCTCAAGCCTAGGAGAAACACTGCAGGGTGAGTGACCAGGAGAGTTGGGGAGACCCCATAGATAGAGTGCTTTGTGTCCTGGTTTGTCTACCCCAGTCAAGCCCCATCTGACTGCAGTGAGCCCAGGAAAGACCAGCAGAAGAACTGCGTGGCTGAGCCCAGCCCAGGCTCACCAACCCACAGGATCATGAACAAATAAAATGGTTATTGTTTACACCTCATTTGGGGATGATTTGTTACTCAACAGTAGCTGACTCATACACCAAGGCAGCTTTGGGTGGACGGACTGTCATATCTGAATGGACCAGCCTGCCATCTGGACACATTGTTCTGGTCACTTCTGCCCCTGCCCCAGGCACTGAAAATGACGTTTAAGGAAGAACTTTTCCCCTACACCCCTTCCAACATAGCCAGTCTTGGATACAAGCTTAGATATTTGAGACCAAACTCAAGGGATGTGTGAATGGCATTTGCTTCTCCACTGGTCCTGGACAAAATCGTGCCAATCAGGTGTCTCTGGTGAACTCCCATTCATCCTTCAAAACCCCACTCAAAAGCCCCCACCCAGGCAATCCTATCCCTCTGGATTTCTGCAGCCCAGGGCTGGAAGTATTTTATGTCTTGCTCTATGTCGCCTGGATTGGGGTGGGGCACAGCATCATACACACATCTCAGGATGCTTGAACCCCCAAATCTCCTTCCCTCTAAGCTCCTTCTCCCAGACCTAGACCCTTCCTTCATTCTGTGTCCCCTTCCTCTGAGGTCCCTTCCCTGTCTGAGCTCCTCCCCCAATCTTGGAACCCCCTCCCTCTGTAAGCCCCACTCTTCTGGAGTTCCCTCTCCTCTCTGGGTGTCCCACTCCACTCAGGACCCCCTTCCCCACTAAGTCCCTCCCCCTCAGAATCTCTTACCCTTCCCCCTCAAAGACCACCCCTGCCCCCGGCACATCTGGGCTGTCTCAATTGGAACCCAGAACCACCCAATGATCCCAGTTTTCTGGTTCAACCTTCCTCCTACCCAGTCACAACCTCAGAAAGACCCAGACCACCTATGAAAGGAGGAACCCAGGCCTTCCTTCCCCCACCCAGTCGGCTGGATCCCCATGCACACCGGGTTCACTTCTCCTGGGACCACACCCTGTTAGCTGAAGCCAGGGGAGACTTCAACCAGATGGGACCCACTTCAGGGCTGGGGACAGACAGAGGTGGCAAGGGGAAGTACAGAGGGGGGCACCTGAACTCCAACCCCTTCTCCCCACTTCCCACCCCGCCTCCACTCGCCCTCACCTCCTCCCCCCTCCCAGCACCTTGGGCAGATGAGGATGGGGTTGCCATGGCAACGCTGATTCACCACACGGAAGCTGGCAATTGTTGTTGCCATAGAAACTGCCTCTTAGGGGCAAGCCCAGCTCCTGCCTCGCACAAAAGAGATATTTAAATATAATCTTCTGGAGAAGCCTGAGCCCAGGGAGGAAGGGAGGGGGCAGCCTTGGGGTGAAAGTCTGCCCCCAACTCTGCCCCCTCCACTCCCACCCCATCCTCAGGCCCAGGGTGATTGTTCCCCATCTCCCTTGTCCGCCACAGAGCCTGGGACCTTTGCCTCCTACATGGAGGCCCCTTCCCATCCTGAGTCAGCTTGGAGTGGGCGGGCCCAGGGAAGCCAGGTGGATGGCACCCTCCTCTCCAACACCCCCCCTTCCAAAGGCCGAGGTTCAGAGGCCCGGCCGCCCCCTCCCCGCGGCCCCGTGGCCCGCCTTACCCACCGGCCGCCCGTCCTGGAGACGTGCGCCAGGCTGGCATCCACGTGCCGCCCCTGGGCGCCCAGGCGCGCACACGCTGCACGCTCGCCAGGCCCCGCGCCGCGCTCCCTGCGCCCCGCACCCAGGCAGACGCTACCAGGCTGGGAACTGGGTCTCCCCCACCCCATCCCGCCTCTCCCGTCCCCCTGCCCGCCCATCTGGCTCTGCCCACCTCCTTCCAGCTTCGTCTCTCCATCTGTCCCACCGAGGGCTCTGCCTAGTGCTCTCCCTCCCTCCTCCACCTTCTCTAGCTCCCCATCGCTCCATCCCTTCCCTGCCCCCTCCCTTCCTCTTGTCATTTATTGCACCACACTCCCGGAGCGCCCCATGCTGAGTAATTTTGGAACCCCAGAGAGAACACCTCCCCCCCCCCCCCAGCAGTAGGAGGAGGGAGTAAAAGAGTCAGGCATAGACACTTCCTGATCTGTTGAGGGTCAAGGCCTAGGAGGAAGGAGGGATAAAGGGCTGGGGAAGCCTGGAGCAAAGCACAGTGAAGGACCCAAGGCAATCCTGGGGCTGCACTGAAGATGGGAAATCTGTGATGGGTTTTGAAGTAGGAATAGAAGTCTGTTTTTGTTTGAGGTGAGGGGGGCAGTGGAAATAATTTCTCATATTGGAACAGTAGTTATACCCACTGACTTGTTTAATCTACAAACAATTTTATGAGATGGAAGCCTTCACTCCCATTTTACAGATGGGCAAACCAAGACTAGAGAGAAGGAAGAGAAAGTCAGGAACAGACAGAGGGTGATTGAAACCTGGAGTCCTCTGAGGACCCAACCCATCCTTCCTATGGGCTCAGGCTCCTGGGGTGTCTTGGATCTTTAGGGTGGGGCTGGGTATTCACTAGGTGACTTGAACCACAGGCGTCAAGTTCCCATTGCGTGTCCCCAGCTTGCTGGATGGTTTCAGCTAAACTGTATACCACAGAAACAAGCAGGCCCTTGGTATTTAGCCAAGATCTCTGGGAGGCACAACCAGTTTGCTCTTAACTACTAACCTCTAGGTTGGCAATTTGAACCCACCCACGGAAGAAAGACACGGTGATCAGCTTCTGTAACGATGACAACCAAGAAAAGCAAAAGCGCAGGGAGCAATTCTACTCCACCACCTGCGGTTGCCGTGAGTTGGAATCTACTCAACAACCATGGGTTTGAATTGTTTGTTTGTTTGTTTTATGTCTAGCCAGGCTGTGTTGTGAAACTGAGGTCCCTGGGAAGAGGAAATGCAGGGAGCGTTAGACTGGCGTAGCCAAGGAGTCTCTTGGATATGCACAGCTGTGCGGCTAGAAGATGTAGGGACAAGAGAGGAGGGTCCCAACTTGATTGATTCCAGGGTATATGAAGGAGAAAGAGAAGGAGGCAAGGCAGACCCCATCTGTCCCTCCTCCTCTCCCCACTGGGCCCCAGCCCAGCCTTTATCTAACACCCTGACCAATCCTCTCACCTGCTCTAAATCCTACTCTGGCTCCCTACTGCCCTTGGGGATAGAGTTCCAGCTTCTTATCCTGGCATTTGAAACCCCTTTGTTACTCAAGCCCAAATATTTTGTCCCCTCCTGCCACACCCCTAGGACCTGGCTGGGTCACATCCCCCTACCTTCGTACCTTTCAAGAGCTCCTTGAATGTCACCCCCTCCCTGAAGCCTTCTCCTTGCCAACCATCTGTTTCTCCTGTGCCCAGACCTTGCCTTGAGGGCACCCACAGCCACACACTTACTGTCACTCTTTGGAGTGAGCTCCTGAAGGGCAGGGGCTGAAGGGGACACCCACCAAGGCTCTCAAATGACGATTCAAATGACGTGAGATGAGCCCTATGGGTTCCAGACAGACAGGAAGCAGAACCCTGGTCCTGTTCCTGTGAACAATATGTGTGGGACATGGTAGCTGCTATGGGAAGTAGCCAGGCGTATGTGCCTAAGAATCTCCAGTTTACAGAAGAGCAAACAGGCCTGGAACGAAGGGATGACCCAGCCAGGTTCACAGAATTGGGCTTACCTGAGGCTATTAAGTCATTTAGCAACCAAGTTCCTATTGTGTGCCAAGATCCTGACATGCATCCCCTTATAGAATCTGCAAAACGCCTCTGTGGTTGTGAGGTGACATCAAGTTGACTCTGATTCCTAGTGACCCTAAGTCCAACAGAACACTCCCCAGTCCTGTACCAGCCTCACAGTCATTGCTATGCACGAGCCCATTGTTACAGCCGCTATGCCAACTCTTTCTCTTTTCTGATGATCCTCTGTTGTTGTTGTTGCTAAGGGTTCCAACTCATAGCAACCCAGTATAGGGTTTCTGAGGAGCGACTGATGAGTTTGAACCGCTGGCCTTGCAATTCAAACTGACCTTGCCTCAGAGAGCGGGGGGTGCTCACCTCCAGTACTTATGCCAAGATTCTAGGCATTCGGTTGTATAGATGAGGAGACGGAAGCCCAGGGAGCTCAAATCATTAGACTTCAGGCACCAGGAGACCCCGCTTGGTCTCAGGTTTGGCTTGACACGGGCCCAAGTCCTGTGATGTTAGGTGGGGAAGGTTCCTTTTAGGGTGGCTACCCCAGGCCCCTAAGGAGCTCTGGTAGCGTAGTGGTTACAAATCAGGCTGTGAACCGCAAGGTCAGCTGTTCTGCAGGAGAAAGATGAGGCTTTCTGTTCCTGTAAAGATTTACAGCCTCGGAAACCCTGTACAGGGTCGCTGTGAGTCAGAACCGACTCCATGGCACACAGCCACTACCACCCCCA